GATTTCAAAAACAAAGCTGGAGAGGTGGTACTTTCTGCTCTTGGGGAGACCTTAGTTCGATTCCCATCAGGTGGCACACAGCTGCACATACCTGCGGCTCAAGGGATCCAGTGTCTCCAGAGACATGCACATGATTTTTTAAAAATGTTATCAAAAACACAAAGCAAAGAAATAATATTAAAAATCATAAAAGGAAAAACTGCCAATCACTCACAAAGGCAAACACGAAACGGACATCAGACCTCTTTTGAGCACTATAGAAGATGCTTATACTCTACAACGTGGTGAAATAAGATTGTCTCATTCATGAGACAGAAAAAATAAGCTTCATGAGAGGAACAGATGAACAATGGGCCAACATAGTAAAGCGTCAACTCTCTGCCATGGATAGGAGATAAAGAGCAAACAGAGAAGCAACTGACGGCGGAGACTACGGGAATCTGTACGCATCTGTCATAACAGTTTAAATGCAAATTGTCTCAATTCACCAAAAAAGCCAACTGTATCTAAAAGCTATATCTATCTGCTGTCTCTGAGAGTCACATTTTGTTAGTGAAGACATCCACAGACTGAGTCAAAGGATGAAGAACAATCTAGCAAGTGAATGGAGGCTGAAGGTAACGTAGCATAGGCATTCTGATACCTGCTAATGTAGCTTTCAAAATCAGACAACATAACAAATGTGCTGCAAACTAACAAAGGGATCAGCCCATCAAAAAGACTGAGCAATCGTAAAAACATGTGCACCAAATGTTGGAACACCCAATTTAATAAAATATATAAAAAGGCTGACAAGTCCTGCTAAAATAATAGACGATTTTAATGCTCTTATCTTTAGATAGGCCATCCAAACTTGAATTCATGAGATAAACTTCAGAGTTATATACTATATCATACACTGAACATACTTAATAGATATATCTAAAAACACACACATGTATGTCAACAGTCCGTGCTTCAAGGAGAAATTAAGTATATACTCTTTCAGCAGTCTATAGAACATTCTCTGTCACATTCTATGACCATATTCTATGTCACATAGCAAGTATTAACAAACACAAAAGAATCAAACTCATTTCTTCTATCTTATCAGATCACAGTTGTCTAAAACTTGAAATCAATAGATAAACAACAGAAATTACTCAAATATTTGGAGATGGAACCACACATTCTTGAATGGCAATGGCTCAATCAAGAAATCAGGAAGAAGGCAGGTGATGGTGGCGCACGCCTTTAATCCCAGCACTCAGGAGGCAAAGGCAGGTGGATGTCTGTGAGTTTGAGGTCAGCCTGGTTTACAAGAGCTAGCTAGTTCTAGGATAGGCTCCAAAGCTACAGAGGAACCCTGTCTGAAAACTCAAAAAACAAAACAAAAAATTAGGAAGAAAGCTTTTTAAAAATATCCCTGGAATCAAATGAAAGTGCAACTTACCAGAACCTCTGAGATTTGGCCAAGGTGATTCTAAGAAGAAGGTAATAACTGAGAGTGGTTGCATTGAGAAAAATGTTCAGCATGACCTCAGATAAATAGCCTAACAATGCACTTCAAAGGCTTCCACTCAGCCTTCCACTTTTTCTTGCTGGGGCACAGCACAAAGCCTGGGTGTCCAGCCAAACAAGCTTTGGAGGAGGAAGGAGCCCCGTCCTCGCCAGCTTCCTCAGGTCGAGTAGCTACTCTGGGCAGCCCATTCCAGGTTCTTGTCATGTAAGGAAATCACCCACTTTCCCTGTTAACACCCAAGAAGTCACATCCCTCTTCCAAGAGTTGAACCCAGGCTTGCCCTTTCTCTCCGATCAGAAATGAGAAGCACCTCCTCTAAGTCTATGTAAGCCCGCTCCAGGTAGGAATGAGGGGTGGGGAGGAAAGAAGTCACTAAAGGGGATAAAGCATTCCTGACAGAACATTACGTAATGCTTACAGGTTGATTATTTGGGGAAAATATTAGGAAGTTCAACAGATTTGCTATAACATTTTCCCCTGTAAGACCCCACCTGCTGTTTTATTTTTAACGCCTCCTTTGGGTGAAATCACTGATCGTGTTTTTTTCTCTCTTCGTTATTCTCTCCTTAAGGATCAACTAATAGGAAGCTTTTGAATAATCTTCCACTAGAATTTTTCTAGTTAGTTTTAATTAGCTGTTCTGGCTCTGAAACTAAACTCTATCTAATGTGACTTCTAGACTCTTCCAGACATGATGGAGGTGGTCTTTTTTTCTATGTGTTGCTTTCATTGGTTAATTAATAAAGAAACTGCTTGGCCCCCTGATAGGGTAGAATTTAGATAGGCGGAGTAAACAAAACAAAATGCTGAGAGAAAGAAGCTAAATCAGGGAGTTGCCATAATTCTCTCACTCCAGACAGATGCAGGTTAAGATCTTTCCTGGTAAGCCACCTCATGGGCTACACAGATTATTAGAAATGGGTTAGATCAATATGTAAGAGCTAGCCAATAAGAGGCTGGAACTAATGGGCCAGGCAGTGTTTAAAAGAATACAGTTTCCGGTAATTATTTTGGGGCGTAAGCTAGCCATGCGGGTGGCCGGGTGCCGGGGACGCAGCCCACCGTTCTTCAACACAGACAGGGTCAAGCTTGAGATATTCTGTACTTTGTTCTTAGAGTTGGGAAAGAAAGTTTAAGGCACCAAAAGATAGAGCCCAATCAAGCATCAAACTCTACCACGCAACACCCACTCCACAGCCACAGCCACAACTTCCCAAGTATGGAGATTATGGACATGTGACACCATGCCTGGCTAAGTCAAAGGCTTTTTTACTCTTAAGTCATAGCTGTGGCAGGAGGACGCCTTTATGTCCCTTCTAAGGAGTATAATTGGAATGGCAGTTCCGAAAATGCTAAAGACATCAACTTGTTCTTTCAGATACTTGGGGTGTCCTGGTTAGTACAGCTGCAGAGTTAATCTTACACTCGGCACAGAAGTATGGAAGTCAAGCTCAATATTTTTAGCACTTCTCAGAGAGTTTAACTTGACTGAACTGCCTCGCAAAGTTGATGTGTCAAACTGCCATCTGTTCCTTCCACACTCACGTTCACACATCCAAGGAAGAAACACCACTCTCTCGGTTTAATTGTCTCGTAATTAAGAACTGAGTTGGTGGGTGACCCGGAGTTACCGGAGCAACTGCCTTTTTACCACAGATCGTCACCTTTGAGTGCGAGGCTTTAATTTTTAACTTGGTTACGGCGGGCGGGGGAGGGGGACGGGGTGCACTCTAAAATAAGCATATTAACTGAAAACTCAAACTTTAAAAAATTAAAAAAACCTTGCCTGGTATTTATTCAAAATCTAGAAACTCATAAATAACTAGGAGATGAAGTTCGGGATGGATGAATTGCTGCAGGGTGTGGGAAATTTATGCCCTCGGGCGTCTCTGGCTCACAGACACGTAAATTGCATACATCTTTTAAATACAAATGACTGTGCCAGCCAACTGCCCTACCCCCACCCATGCTACCCTTTCCTCTCTGCTGTCAAAACTGGAGCTCTTTCCCATTCCCTCGGCTACTGTCTTTGGCTACCAGGGAGAAATCTACAAGCCAGTAACAAAGGGAAGTGTCCTTTCTCACTTCCTGTGTGGCCCATGGGGGGGGAACCCAGCTGGGGGAGCCATCTTATCATGGCACACAATGCCCTCCCAAATTGGCTATTTCAGTGTCCTTTTTGTTATATTGTTTAAAATGTTGACTAATTTTTGGGAGGCGTCCTACCCACTCCATCTTGAGCATTAGGCCAGTGTGGGTTTGGCTCTTCCCCAAGCTTCCCGGCTGAGCATTCTTCCCTTGTACTTTTTCCCAATTTAACATCTTCTGTCATACAGACTGAGCAACCTCAGAGGAGAAACTGTCAGAGCCTAAGCACCCCAAAGTGTCTGGCACCAAATTGGCTTAAAAAAAAATAGTAACCCCCTACAAACAAATCCTATATTTTTGATAAATGACCATTCAGTTCTCTTCATCCTAAAGACCTGTTCGAGCCCTCCCCTCACTCTCCTCCTCAAGAGCTATTAACATGGTAAGGAAAGAGGCTTGAGTTTGTTCCGTTTCTCTAAACGAAACCGCCTAGGTCATCCTGCCATTCTGAGATCCAGTTACCAACTATGTGACTGTGTAAGAGATGCCGGGTGCCACTGCAGAGTCCCAGACTCTTGTTAAATAGGTCGAGCATCTTACAACAACATGGAGGCCTGGATTTAGGGAAGAAGGACCAGCATTTCGCCAGCCTCTGCTCCATCCATTACAAACAGCTGCAGTTACCGCTGCACTCATTTACGCAGTTATGTTCTGAGCTCGTGGTGTTCTCCATAAATTAGATCTCATAACACACCTTCTTTCCCCAGTTAATGTTACCAGGAATTAAAAATAGCTGTGATTGGCCAGGCATGGCGGTGCGTGCCCGTAATATCAGCTACAAGGGAGATTGAGGCGGTAAGATAACTTCAAGGCCAAATTGGGCTAAACTATGAGACCCTCAAAACAGACAAAGTGTGAACAGAGTAGGTACCTAAGGGAATGTGTACATCATTAGTGAAAACACTAAAATTGGTGACTAGGCTCCTATAATATACAGCATGTTTTGTTCTGAAGAACAATGTCCTAAAATAAAAAACACATTTGGGTGAAAATAAGCAGAGTTTCTTCTATGCTTTATCACTATTGAGAAAATGTAGAAAATAATTTAACAGGTGTTTTTAATCAGCCAGATGTGTGTTCCAATGCCTGTTACATAGACCAACATATATCGTAAGGAATGCTTGAAATGTTTTTCTTCTTCATTTTGGTCCCTAATTAGTGCTTGTTTCAGGTACTGGGAAGAGCAGAAGAAAGGAGGAGAAGTGAATGCAAGGACCACTGGTGCAATCCCTCTAGGACAAATGGATATAAGCACGGCTTCAGATCCTCGTTTTTATCCAAGTTGCACCTGTAAGCCCCACCTAGAAGAAAATGGCAGCATCACCAGAAGCTGATTCGGCCAAGTAGGGGCTCCAGGTAGCTTCACAAGACAGTGGTCCTTTCCTAAGTGGAAGAAGAGAGAAATTGAGATCAAAAAATGGTACAACAGTACACAGGAAAGTACAGGGACTTTGTCACCAATCAGTGGGAGTTGACTCAACAGCTCAGAAAACAGTCCCTCTCAGAAACCTGGGCTGGTAGGTTTGACAACCCACAACACCCCTAAATCTCAGACCATCAGCCCCCCAAAATAAAAGCCCAAATCTGTCATCCTCCCTGAGGATGTGGGTCAAGCTGACTTGGACAGGCTCAGGAATGAGGCAGTTCCCTTGCCCGGTCCACATTGGGTTGCTCTAACAGAATTCTCAAGACTAGGTAACTTGTGAGTAATAAAAGTTATTCAACACATAGCCCTGGAGGCTGGAAAGTCTAATCCTGGGGGGGGATCTACATCTGTTGGAAGTCCTTCTAGCTAGGTACTAACATGTCAGATTATCACTTGGAGAAGTCAAGAAAGTTAGGGCTATAAGTAGTCCACTCCACAGCACTGATAACAGCATGAATGTACTTCTAAAGCGAGAGCCCTCAGGCCCTAACACCTATTAAAGGTTCCATCTCTTAACCCTGCTGCACTGGAGATTAAGTTCCAGCACTTGAACTTTGGGGTACACATTCAAATCATTACAACCCCTTTTCCTACTCCTTGGCTGGCAAGGAAGCTAGAGGGAGGGTGAAAATTAAAGTTAATAAGGTTCCTTGGGGCCGACAAACATGGCTGGTATCAGCCTTTAGGCAAAATATTCTTCTGTTTTATGAGGATGTCCAAGGTAAGCACCAACTAATGGCTTACAAATGAGTATTTTGATTATATAACTGAACCTGTCCATAGCCAACAAGAGCATAGGAGCCTGGGGTCTTTTGGCAGGGAGTTTTGAGCTGTTGGTATCATGGCCTGTTTTCCTGCATGCTTGCTTTCACTGGAAAACAAAAGCTCTAGCAGACGATTTGTTTTGGTTTGGTTTTTCAAGACATGGTTTCTCTGGGTAGCCCTGTCTAGGAATTCACACTGTAAGACCTGGCTGGCTTGAACTCAGAGATCCACTTACCTGTGTCTCCTGAGTGCTGAGTGGAAAGGTGCGCACCACCACCACCTAGATACAAGCAGACAATTTTTAAATTCACATTTTTAAGAATATATAAAACACTGCAGATATGAGCAAATCCTCTAAGCCTGGTTCACTACGTATCCTCATCATTCAAAAGGAGGACAAGACCAAAACTCGCCATTGTCCTGAATGTGATAGTTCTCACCCGTGGCATGAGCGTAAATATCCAAGACAGGGGCATGCCCGTCAATGATATATAATTTTGTTTCCCGTACTTCCAAACCTTATGTAAGTGAAGCGATGAATTTGAACCTCTGTCACAGTTTGCTCACCATTGCCCTCAAGATATTTTCAGGTTCACATGATATTATTATCACTATTAATAATATTATTATTATTATTTTATGAAATGGGCTTGCCTCAAGTTCCTGGGATCCTGAACTGTCGGGATTTGGTTAATTCACTTTTTTAGCTGCAGTGTTCAGTTATGTGAGTATATATTACTTTCACGGTAGAGTTGTATTGCTAATACTGTTCATTATAGTATTTATTATAGCATCCTATTATGTAATGTATTAATTTATTTCTTAATTCATCTAAGGAGTTCAGGAGGAGGAGGAGAATGTGAGCCTTCATAACTCTAAAGATGCCTTTGATAATATCTAATAAACTGATAGAGCATCTTATATCCTGTTGGCAGAGACTGAGAGCCCGTGACATTGCACACTCTTCGAGCTATGGTACTGTCTGACTCTAATTGTTGCCCATACCAAGTTGGTGGTGATAAGCAATCTTAACTTATGATATATATGTGTACCAAGATTCAAATCTATTTTCAAGTCAATGGTTCTGAAAAAAAATAGTGTCCCAGGCCCCCCTGAAATTTCTTCAGGTCATTTGTGAACAAAATATGCCAAGAAATTGTTTATCTTTTACTCTTATTCTTCTGTAAGTACATGGTAGAATTTTCCAGAACCTCCCTGGCCTGTGGGACCGTGTCAGAACACAGAAAATGCAAGTACAACACCCAGGTGCATTCTCTTAAAACAGCCATTAAGGAGATTTACGGATATGTAGAGCAAGGCACTCAATTCATATTAGAAAACAATGAACTACATTTTAAGATGTGTTAACACATAACGAGTTTATTGCTATCTTTGCAAGGATTTAGAAATGTTTTAAATATTCCAGCTTTTATTTCCAACGTGGTAAGCACCGCTAGCTATGGCAGGCACATAGACAATGCCCCTTGAGGCACCTAGGAGCATTTAAGAGTATCAGGAGGCTCTCTTTCTGCAAACATTGGCAGCCAGGTTGCACTGACTCATCGTTCCCGCTTGAACTGATACTGGAGGCACTCAGAATGCAGTCTGTGCGTGGGGCACAGGTCTGAGTGCTTGAGGAACTCCTCCCCATTCATCTTCAATCCTGGAAAGTAAATACTGAGATGGGTCTATTCACAGGAGGACGAGCTGGGGTTGGGTAAGCTGAGTAGAGTGTCGTGGCTGCACAGTCAGCAAGAGAAGTCACCACAGCCATGTATTCCCCATCCTTCCACAGATCTACGCTCATTGTCTGAGGTCAGCCAACTTCAAAGCATGCACTTAGTTTCCAATCATTCTTCCCAAGGCAGCTAAAAGGACTCATGAGCTCCTGAAGCTGCAGTTGCTCATCAACCAGAAGAGCTGACAGCCAAGCAGATGAGCAGGAAGCAGATCCGTCCATGGGATAGGACCAAGGGCAAAATAACTGCTAGAAGGAATGATTGCTGAGAGCTTAGAATAGGCCGGAGAATTCCTTTTCTCTGGGATCAAGCCCATGGGTGAAATAGTAAACTCTGGCATTAGGAATTATATCTACATCTTAGTCTCCTTCAGAAAATACAAAGAGTGTACCTAGAAGGCTGTTATGGGTTAATTAGAATCGTTTATTGGGTGCTTACTTCATAAAAGGCACTGTTAATTTACTTTGTCACTTAAACCTCGTATGAACCCTTGTCACACAAGGGGAAACTGAGGCGCAGAAAGTATATCCTATACATATCATCAGCATATGTAAAAGCTACTTAACATGCTCCTAGGGGCCAAGAGGTAAACTGTTATCTGTTAATTTTTCCTGTTGTTGCTATAACAAATAGCAAAAACTTAGACATTTACAACAATTAGCTTTTGTTACAGATTTATCATCTTATACTTCTGTAGGCCAGAAGTGGAAAGATTTCACTTGTCTGAAGTCAAGGCTGCTGGCAGGAACATTCTTGTTGAAATAGGAGCGGCGGGGCTGCGTCCCCCGCACCCCAGCCACCTGCTAGCTTATGCCTGAAATAACAACACACAAACTGTATTCATTTAAAGACTGCTTGGTCCATTTCTATCTAGCCTCTTCTAGGCTAATTCTCGCACCTGGATTAGCCCATTTCTAATAATGCATGTAAGCACCCCAAGGTGCGCTTACCGGGAAGATTCTAACCTATGTCCATCTTGGGTCGGAGCTTCATCGCGTGTGCCTCAGAGAGCAGAGCTATCTGGAGAGCGGAGCCTGGCGTCTCTGCTCCAGAGCAGACCTGTCGAGTCTGAGCTCACTTCCTCTTCCTCCCAGCATCCTATTCTGTTTACTCCTCCCACCTATGTTTTAACCTATCAGGACCAGCCAAGCAGTTTCTTTATTGCTTAACCAATGAAATCAACAGATTGATATATGACACTCCCACATCACATTCTCTCCTTGGAGACTCTGGAGGACAATTGGTCAGAGCTTGTCCATTTTCTGGAAACTTGACCCCTGACTTTTACAGTTTCAAAGTCAGCAAGCACAGCCTTATCTCACTGACCTCTGTCTCTTGCCTGTCTTCCTCATCCCATGGCTGTTGCCTCCCTCTTGTAAAGACCCTGGTGATTACTTTGGGCCCATGAGACAACCTAAGACACAATCCCCCTAGATTCTTGATTTGAACCAGGTCCGAAGTCCTCTTTACTTTGTTAGGCACCGTCGTTGTGGAGATTTGAATGTAGGCATCCTTTGGATGAAGGATTACCATTGTTCAGTCATCTAACTCCAATTTATCCAATCACTGGACAAAGACATACTGAGAGCCCACTATGAGATGTTTTTTAGGCACGAGAGACAGTGATAGGCAAGCTCTGAAGACCATACAGGAGTTAACCAGGTGAAATGGGACAAGGGAATAGTAGCTCTAGCAGAAAGACCACGAGGGAGACAGAGAGCAGGAAGCAGGCCCTTCTAGAGAGTCTATATCATCAGTTCTCAATGTGTGGGTGATGATCCCCTTGGGAGTCAAATGACCCTTTCACAGGGGTCATATATCAGATACCCTGCATATCAGACATTTGCATTATAATTTGTAACAGTAGCAAGATTAAAGTTATGAAGTAGCAACAAAAAAAAATTATGTGGGGGTCACCACAACATGAAGAACTGTACTAAAGGGTCTGGTCACAGCTTTAGGAAGGTTGAGAACCACTGGTCTATATGATCTGCCCAGTCTTATCTGTGAAGTAATAGATCTCAACCCTGGCCGTTCATCAGAATCACCTAGAGAGGCCGAAACTAATATTGTTGCTGGTGAGATTTGCAAGACCTCCTCTACCTGTTCCTGTCCACAAAGTCCTAACATCAGAGGTGGGACTTGGGCTTCAGGCAATTTCAACATGCATGCTGCTGGGAGATTAAGACAATGAGGTGTAAGGACACAGGTGTCTAGACATGGAACTAAAAAAGAGCCAGATCGTAACGGACTTCGTAACCCAAGAGCATGCGTTTTATGTGGAGGGCTTAAAGAGGTGTGATCAGATTTTTCCTTTACAATGATTTCCTAGCTACACAATGGAGCGGAATGAAGGAGCTAAAAATGATAGAGCCTGAGCTTGGCACAGGTCTATGGAGACATTGAAATCAAATGATAGGAAGACAGGATGGCTTGTGGGATGCCTCAAATCACTAGCAGCACCTCCCGTATTAGTTAGGGTTCTTTGAAAGAATAGAACTGATAGAACTAGTGTGTGTGTGTGTGTGTCTTACATAGAGCGGCTTTCAGGCCGTGGTTCAAGAGTCCAGCAGCAGCTATCTCCTGAACAGAAAGCCAAGAATCCGGTGGTAGTTCAGTCCCTGTGTCTGTGTATCTCAGCAGTCCCAGTCTGGTGCTGGTCTTCAGTCTGGGCTGTCATCCCAAAGAAGTAGATTCTATTACCATGAGAGAAATGTCTCGGCAATGGGGTAGATGAATTTGCCAGTGAGAATGAGGGCAAGCAGGCAGAAGTCAAAAGCTTGTTTCTTCCTTGGCCTTTACGTGGGCTGACCCCAGGAGGTATGGCTCAGACTTAGGGTGGATCTTCCCACCACAAATGATTCCTGTCAGATGTGTCCAGCTGCCTGGGTTTTGGTCGATTCCAGATGTAGGCTAGTTGGCAACCAGATTAACCATCTTACCGCCTAACTAGATTTCCCAGTACACATTTTCCAGTTAACCTAACCTATCACGGCCACATTAACCTCCCACCACAGCCGCTTACCATGAGTGCCAAGCGGCCTATGATTAAATGCGTTTGCTCGGGGCCAAACACCCTGGTTTTAAACCCCACCTCCCCACTTTGCTGTGTGCCATTCCCACAGCTGTAAAACAGTGATATAGTCACGTCTGTTGCTTGATAAAACAAATGTGGTGGTTTGAAAGAAAATGGTTCCCAAAGGAAGTGTCACTACTAGGAGGTGTGGCTTGGTTGGAGGAAGTGTGTCACTGTGGGGATGGGTTTTGAGGTTTCCTTTGCTCAAACTATGCTCAGTGTGGTAGACAGTTCACTTCCTGTTGCCTGCGGATTGAGATGTAGAACTCTCAGCTCCTTCTCCAGCACCGTGTCTGCCTGTGTGCCACCATGTCCTGCCATGATTTCAATGGAATAAACTTCTGACACCTCTCTAACTAGACGTTTTAACAAGTCACTCCAACTATACATTTTCCTTTAGAAGAGTTGCCATGCTGGGCGATGGTGGCGCACGCCTTTAATCCCAGCACTTGGGAGGCAGAGGCAGGCAGATCTCTGTGAGTTTGAGACCAGCCTGGTCTACAGAGCTAGTTCCAGGACAGGCTCCAAAGCCACAGAGAAACCCTGTCTCGAAAAACCAAAAAAAAAAAAAAAAGAGTTGCCATGGTTATGGCATCTCTTTACAACAATTGAAACCTAAGACAACAACCTAGGGCAGAAAGTGGTTTGTTTCATCTTACAGTTCCAAGTTACCGTCTGCCATTGTGGAGAAGGCAGGAACTTCACACAGCCACATGCTATCCACAGTCATGAGCATGAAGACTTAGTGCATGTGTGCCCACTTGCTTATTTGTTTGTGCTTGGCTCCATTTCTCCATTCCTACACAACGTAAGATTCTCTGCCTAGGGGATGGTGTCGCCTATACTGGGCTGAGTATTAGACAGTTCCCCGTAGACACACCCACAGACCAATCTTCCCTGAGACTCGCTGACTCTATGTTGAGCCACGCTGACAGTGAAGACTAACCATCTAGAGTGTGTTTCCAGCACAGGGGTACTGTGAGGGAGTGGACCTAGGAGAAGCTCTGTCATCACCTGTGTAGGGTAAACATTCTTCTACGTTCATTACAGCCTTACCATTCTTCCAGAGAGCCACCTTCAAAAAGGCTTGAGGAGATGGCACCATTGGTAAAGGTGTTTGATGCATGAGCATGAACAACTGGTTTTGAACCCCAGAGCCCGTGTAACTGAGCGCAGCAGCCTACAGCTCTAATCCCAGCGTTGGGGAGACGGGAGAAGGAGGGTCCTCAGGATTCTCTACCAGCCAGCGTAGCCAAATGGAGACATGCCAGTCTCAGTGAGGAGAACCCATATCTAAAAATGAGATGGCGTGTGACTAAAGAAAATACCCAACATAACCACACTGACCTCTGACCTCTGACACACACACATACATGCACAGGTGCACACGCGTGTACATCCCATATACAAAAATAAAAAAGAAACTTTAAAAAGCAAAACAAAAAAAATTCTAACTTCTGGATTCCAGGGCTGCATTTTCCACATTTCCCACATCTTCAAACTGTGTCCACAAGCATAGCAGCTACAGTCCCTTTGCATCTGGCCATGTTGTTCCCCTTCCCTGGTCCTCATTCCTCTGAACATCCATCACCATTCCTAGAGAAAATGACATCAAGTGCAGTGGCTGGTGACCCTGCAGTCACCTCCCTCCAGCGGGACAGCTGTCCTTCCTACCAGGAGGTCTTTGCTAATAACCCACAGCCACCCACGCACTGCTGCCTAAATGCTCCGTGCTCACCGGCTCAGGCCCTAAACCTGCCATTTCTGTACTTTGTGGGCACCACAGCTACCCCCAGAAGCTGATAAATAAAAAATGACTTTGGTATGAGTTGTTTTCGTTGAGACCATCAGCTATGAAATAGTTTTAAGGCTTCTTTGGATCATTAACCCAAACCAAGGTTGTATATTACAAAAGGATAGATACCAAAATATCTGAAGTAATTGGCCCGGATATGTTGCAAGAGCTGTTCTGAAAGCAAAAACAAAGCACCACTCAAAACCGGACTTCATGGAAACATGTGTGCCCTTTGCCTTACATCCTGTGGTTCTCAGGCTTCCTGGGGCATGACTGAGGCATGACTGAGGCATGACTGACCTCGCACACGCTATGCAGTACTGGAGGGTCCCCACTGGATACATCGCATGTTCTCCTAACATCCTGTGGTTCTCAGGCTTCCTGGGGCATGACTGAGGCATGACTGAGGCATGACTGCCAATGCACACGCTATGCAGTACTGAGGGTCCCCACTGGATACATCACGTGTTCTCCTGACCGTGAGGTGTAGATCACTTAGGGTTCTCCTGACTTTGCAGACGGATTAGAGCCGCATTAAAAAGCCAAGCTGCCGGCAGTGAGGCTTTCCACACCTGTAAGTCATTAGTGATTTTTCTTGGTGGGAAACATGTCTCAGAGCCAGAAATTCGGAAACTAAAAAGGGTTCTTTCCTTCATTTTTCACTGACTCTTTTTTCAGTTGGTATACAAAACAATGTATTTCATTACAGCGTTGTATGTCATTGTACACTGTATATCACTGAACTTTACCCTGCATTCTCACCCCTCTGGCTTTAGGCCCCTCCCTCCCCTCATACCCTCACTTCTATTTTCACGTCAAAGGGATTTTTTAAATAAAAAGATATAGTTTGCATTTTACTTATTTATGCTGAACCCAAGCCTCTCACATGCTAGGCAAGGAAACTGCCACCGAGCTTGTGTTTTAAATCAAGACTAGGTAGGCATCTAATTTGCTTTGCATTGAAAAATAAGAGACTCTCTGTACAATACACCTCTGTTAGCTCCGGTCACCCCACACACGGGGCTGAGTTCAGTAGAGTCCGTTAGGAGATGGGGGTGCTTCTCTCTGTGTTCTTGGGAAGGGTGAGGGAGAAGGAATGTATCTAAGTGACTTCAGATCACAGGCCAGCGATGTGCCAACAGTGACCAGAAGTCTCTCGCTCCTTATTGGTTTCCTGAACCCCTGCATCTCACTGAGCTGGGTAGCCTGTTCCATATACGTTTACAAATTAATCTGAGACAAGACCCCATCTTCAGCCCTGGAGGTTAGTCAGCAAGCAGTCTCCTCGGAACTGGACTGGCCCTGACTCCCCTGGCTGAATGACAGGAACCAGCAGCTGTCAGTGTACCAATGCAAGGGTACCAATGCGGCTACAGGGGTCTTTTCCCTTCCTGATCTGTAGGACCAGATTTCTGACTCAGTTTCCCAGACTCCCAACTCTGAGAAGAAATATTTCCTGTTTGCTTAAACGAACCATTTAATCATTAGCATCTTTCCTCACGCTGGCTCTTACTCCCCGGGCCCATAGGTGTTAGGTTAATGTCTAAATGCGGATGGTTTTGTTATCTGAATTGGCCTGACTGGTGAAAGCTTTGATCCTTTGTCAACACGTCAGACTTCAAAGTGGCAAGCCAAGTCTATCTGAATCAGAAACTGTGGGAAAGGAATTGTACCCCAAAAGAGGAACTGTAGCTCACAGAGATCCAATTATATCCTGAAGTCCCCAGTGTGAGCAGAGCCAGGAAGAAATCAGAAGCCATTCACCTCTTTTATATTCTAATTCGTCACTGGGAAGATCTACACGCCTGTTTGATTCCCTTTTCTCCACCACAGCCTACTTACTCCGTTTTCCCTGAGCCGTGTCGTTTTCTTTGATCCTTCAAAAACGCAACGCTAGGCCACAAACTCAGATACGTGAATTAGGCAACCGAGCATGTGGCCTGACAGACGCCGCTGAGGCAGCAGCGCGGACACAGCCTCTCCGTAGGGCTGGAAGATTAAAGGAACCTTCCCTGTCCAAGGAGACAGCCGCGCTCAGTTCCTATCCGCTGCTTCTCAGCAAAAACGTGGGCCCTGCTTTGCCTCATCATAATCTAGATTTTTCTCGTGAAATCTCAGAATGTCGCTCCCACAATTCTAGTCTACTTGACAATAGCCAGTCTTAAAAACTGGAAAGGGGAGGATTGAGCAACTAGCCAAAGCAAGCTTTGCTAAGACCTGCTGGTGCTGACAGCCACGGGACCTGGAACTACAGGCAGCTCCTCGTGGCTTCGAGACCCCAGTTCTACGCTGTCAATCTTGTTCTCCTGGAGGAGAATCTCGAGTTCTAGAAAGGAATGTATTACCAACAAGCTTTTTTATGGCGAATGTTTGAGACCTTATGCAGAGAATCCAAATTGGCTGACTAGATTTTTCTCAACTTGACACAAGCTGGGATCTTCTGAGGGAAGGGAACCTTGAGGGATCGCTTCCATCAGATTGTTTGTAGGAAAGTCTGTGGGGACATTCACCTGATTAATGGGTGATGTGGGGATGCCTAGCCCGCTAAGCGTGATGCCAACCCTGGCCAGGTGGTCCTGGGAAAGCCATAGAGAGCAAGCCAGTATGGAGTGTTCTTCCATGGCTTCTGCCTCAGTTCAGGCCTCCAGGCTCCTGCCTCAAGTCTCTGCCCTGACTTCTTTCACAATGGACTCTAAGCTGTGAGACAAAATGAACCCTTGACTCCCCAAGCTGCTTTTGGTCATGGTGTTTATTACAGCAAAAGAAAACACACCTGGACAACTAAGCCACTTCTGGGTCATGCATGACACAGGAAAACTGCGAAATAATCAATGTGTTGTTGTTTTTTTTGGTTGGGTTTTCTGGTTGTTTTGTTTGTTTAAGCCGCTGAGTTGTAATCATTTTTGATGCAGCAATAGTAAACCAGTAAGGTTCCTAGGACTTACCCATCCCAGAAAAAGAAATAAATTCCAGAGGTTCCTTCCTCACCTGCCATCACTACCTCCACCCTTAACCGCCCTGATCCATAGATGACAGAGACTGATTTGACCATGGACCCACAATCCCGGAGATTCTTTGCTTTTCTGAGAAACTGCCTAGAGAGACGGTGACTGAATAAAATAACTGACTCAAATGATGAAATTTTAGAAAAACAGAAGCCATCTTCCTGGAGATGAGCCTACTGGCCTCAAACCGCACCTCTGTCTTTGTGTAGGAATGAGGTCTGTCTAGTCGGAGCCTTGCATTTTCAGTCCCGGGGCCACCTGACAACCACACAGATGTCAAGGGAGTCCCTGGTCACCAGGGCAAACACATTTCCATCAGAAGTCCTCTCCAGGAAAATGAGGCCCACAGAGTCCTCCGGACTCAGGCAGTAGGTCCCACGGGAGTTCTACCAGCAGGAACCCACTGTGTCTGTAGCCAGATTTCCAGCAGAAGCAAGTCTCTAAGGCTAATGAAACATATACCACACTAAGTTTTACTGTATTGCCGTGAATAATACAGAGAAAGAGGAGAAGGGAAACAAGGAAGTTTAGTCTCCTAGATACCAGCAAACAAAAAAAGTGGCTTAAGAAAACTATGCTTTTCCCATCTCAAACCCAGAGGCTTTAAGGGTGGCATGATTAATTGAGGGAGGGAAGAACTCAACTAAATTATTAAAATATAAAGTTTGTTAAGGCTAATTTTATTTATTTATTCATTTATTTATTTATTTATCGTTATTAGTTTTTTTCGAGGCAGAGTTTCTCTGTGTAGCCCTAACTGTCCTGGAACTCACTTTGAGGCCAGCCTGTCCTGAAACACACAGAGATCCACCTGCCTCTGTCTCCTAAATGCTGGGATTAAAGGTGCATGCCGCCTCCACCCAGCTTCAAGAATAAACTATTAATATTAACAGAAGGATAACAGCACTGAACATTTGCTGTGTTGAGTTTACCGTGTATCTGACTATGTGCTGGATTTCTCCTGTGTGTTCTCTTGCTCAGCCCTCAATGCTGAAGGAAAGATGTCATTACTCTTCCTGCTTAACAGACAAATGGAAGTTGGTGAGCTGCTCACCAAAGCTTTTTCAACCAGCAATGAGGAAGGGGTAGACAGTCGCAGAGCAGAAGTCTCCACAAGCACATTTAATCCTCTGTATCAGTTTTCTGGAACACTCAAAGGTGACGTCAGTGACAGCAGAAAGAGGAAGAAAGCAAAGGAAGAGAGAGGGTCAGAAGGTGAAAGGGGGAGGGGGAGAAAGGACGATGAAGAGCCAAGTCATGGCCTCTGGGTAAAATTCAATTCCAACAAGTAAAATCAGGATAGCAACAATAAACAGACATTCAAGAGTCCTGATGCCAGGATTTGCAAACTCTAGGCATTAAAAATGGGCACACCAAAGATAATGGATAATGAACCAGAAATCCCTCATACCTGAAGGTGTCCTGTTGAGAAAGTAAGAAGCAATGGAGAACGGTAACTGGCAGTATTTGGTTATCTGTGCTCTACAGGCAAACTAGACAGTCGTTTTCCCTTTGGGGTCTCGTGTCAATAATTGTCACGTGTATTGTTTCATGACCATAGCCAACAGGGTAATGCTGTGTGTGGCACACTGACTGTAAAGCTCCCAGGTGGCTCTAACTGTTCTCTTCCCCACATAAGAGACCTGAAGATGAGAGGGAGGGAGTTGTTCTCGGGCATGCAGAGACAGTGGGAGGCTTACCTGTACCAACTGAGACCACTCTTAAACCTGTTCAGGGTTTGGTGCACAATGTATATGCAGTAGCCCTTACAATCCTATAACAATAAATACTGCTGTTTTCATTTTACAGAAAGAGAAACTGAAGCTCAAGGAGATCAAAAGACGCACAGGGTCACTTGACTGGTAGGGTGAGGGAGTTGAGATATGGAATATGTATAAGTTGATTCTGTGTACACACCCATTTTATTCTGTGCACTTCAAAATATGACTTATACCTTGCAATACCCCTATAGGAATAACACAACTGGCTTCCGTGCATACTAATGCATGGTTTGTTCCATTCACACTGTATATGAGAACTGCCATCAAAAGTAGACCAGTTTTATCTATGATTAATTTAGTGCAGAGATCTGTTGGTTTTCTTTTATTTTTCTTTTATTTTGTCATTGGGGAATTATGAAAAATCACATTAACAGCCAGAAATTAAAGAGCTGATGGTGCTCAGCCCTTCGATAGTTATTATTTTAAGGATTTATTTACTTTTATTTTATGTGCATGTGTATTTTGCTTGCATGTGTGTGTATATATGTGTGCCTAGCGCCCACAGCGGACCAGAACTTGAGTTATAGGTGGTTGTGAGCTTCCATGTGGGTACTGGGAACTAACCCAGGTCCTCTGCAAGAGCAGTCATGGTCTTTCCCACGGAGACATTCTCCAGTCCCATAATTGTTAGTTTTAAAATAATTTCTTGCATTTTTCAATTATCATACAAGGTATTAGATGCCATTGTGGCATTTTAAAATGCTTTAGAAGATTCTAACCATCATCATCATCATCTTCCCAGCTCTCCACTAGCCCTCAACCTCCTTCGTAACACCCCACACACAGTCTCTCTTCTTCTTTCCTGTCCCATGTGTCTTTTGTGCACCGTACTTCTTCGTCGCCCATTTTAACTTCTCTTGGTCTCCTTTCTAGACTGTAAGGTTTTGCCCACATTTACATCCATATATATCCCATACCTTATTTATAAGGTATATATTTTCCTCATACCTTTTTGTGCATTACAGTCTAGGAACTGTAGATGAGAAATACAAGGAGTCTGCAAAAGTTGTTTTGCAGGTTGAGGCCGTAGCTCAGGTGAGGGTGCTCATCTAACATGTCTCAGACCCTGGATTTTATGCTCAGCATAACTCTACCAAAAGTTTTCTGTGCTTATTTTGTTTTTATCTTTTTTAAAAAAGTTATTTCTTGTGTATGTGTGAGTGTGCTGGCATGCGTGCCCGAGTGCAGATGTCTGCACCGCTCAGAAGAGGGTGCTGGGTTCCTGAAGCTGGAGGAGTTACAGGCACATGTGAGCCCCCAGATGTGGGTGCAGAGAACCAAACTTAGGCCCCGTGGAAGAGCCGCGGGTGCTCTTAGCCTGTTTTTATCTTAACTCTGATGTAAATTCATCCACGACTCATGTTTTTATGTTCCATCTTTTTGCACTAGCTTTGCTTCCAATCTCATTTTCTATCGAAAAATGAAGTCCAAGAGAACCTGGTTCAGTGTTTGAGCACTACCTGGAATGCGGGCGGTGTGTGCCAGGTATGCATGTAGCGCACATATACATGCAGGCAAACACTCGTACACAGGAAATAAAGGCAAATGAATGGTTAGAGACTAGATTTCCCACAGAAAGTTATCTTAGCTGTTCTCCAGAGTTCTGACATGCGCCACTTTTCTCATTCCGAACATTTCACAATTCTATTTTCTTTATTTACTCAGAACATTATTTAGGAAACTGATAAGTAAATTCCTAAATGTAAAGTTTTGAGTACCTTTTGGAGGAATGAGTTTTGAGACAGGGTTTCTCTGTGAGACTAGCCTCGAACTCACAGAGATCTGGCTGCCGGGCATTAAAGGCTTGTGCCACCGCTGTCACACTTGGCATTGCTTTTTAATTCATCATGTATGTAATCAAATTAAAATTTATCATTTATTGAAAATTTTTAAAAATTTTGCCAGTTATAAAAAATTTTTAAAAACTTGGTTGGGATTTCTTTTATTTCCTTTTTTGTCATTTTTATGTTACCCTCTAAAGCAAAGGAAAAATTATACAGAGGACTTTTACTCACACTCAAGGATGCATAAACA